GTTGTAACATCAAGTCTTGAAACATGGGCAGTAAAACAGTGTAAATTGTAGGCTACTTTTGCAGATTTTGGTAGGCTGAACTTTGAAGAAATTAGTAACAACAGAAGGAAAACCTAATTTTCTTCTTACCTTGAACTATTCTCAAAGTAGTATTTGAGAAACAGGAGTTAATTTAATGCTCATTATTATGGCAAAAAAAGAAGCTCTAATCGCCAAAGCACTGTTGCATGTTGTCAATCTAATTCTGTGTTATAATGTATGTAATAGAAGCAATAATTGTAACTAAAGAATGATTGAAAAATTTTCCTAGAGACGAGATATTTTTTGGCATCATACCTATTTTGAAACTTATTAATATGGCTGGTTAATTTATTAATAACAATGTTTGTCTCTCAGAGGCTGAAGCATAGAATGGTTAAGGTTGGAAGGGACCTTAAAGATCGTCAGGTTCCAACATCCCTGCCATGAGCAGGGGCACCTCACACTAGACCAGGCTGCACAAGCCTTATCCAGCCTGGCCTTAAACACTTCTAGGGATGGGGCTTCCACAGCTTTCCCAGGCAATCTGTTTCAGCACCTTACAACCCTCACGGTGAAGGATATCTAATATCTAACCTAAATTTCCCCTCTCTCAGTTTCAAACCATCACCCCTTGTCCTATCACTGTCTTCTCTGATGAAAAGTCCCTCCCCAGCTTTCCTGTAGCCCCTTCAGGCACTGGAAGGCTGCTGTGAGGTCTCCCTCGAGCCTTCTCTTCTCCAGGCTTAACAGCCCCAACTCTCTCAGCAGAGGTGCTCCAGCCCTCTGATCATCTTCATGGCCCTGCTCTGGACCCTCTCCAACAGGTCTATATATTTCCTGTGTTGAGGGCTCCCAAAATTTAAAGAATTTTAAAAGAAAATTTAAGATTTTTTTTAAGAAATCACATTAATTGGTATGTATTATGAATATACAGTAACATATACATAAATAATTTGCCAGATGTTTTTTGAACAGACAAAATGATTCCTTTTGTAACACTGTTCCAATTAACATTTTTACAGTTATTTTTAGCATAAATTATCTGCACTTCAGGAATTAATTCTTCTGAATGAACAATAAAATCTGAGAGTGGGTTGAAAAGTCTCTGTTTGTATCAATGTATAATAGAAATGACCATTTTTTCTCAGTAAAACTTCAATTAACCAGTAAGGACTAGGCTCAGATTGAGGTGAGACACAGTTACCAATCAGTTGACCTGCACTAAAGCAAAATTAGTAATGGGAAATATTAGCTAGATTTTTCAGGTGTTAAAAGATACCCAAGGGCTATTTCTAGACCAATTCCACTATTTCTGGATGAAAAAAATTACCTATTTTATATTTTGAAATACATTGAATAATTTTAAAAGTACTATAGTATTCCCTTCAGTTTTCTGGAATTTGAGTGGAGAGTAAGTCAGGTATCTGTTTTTTAAGAAACTGAATGCATAGCATACTTAATAATGGATTGTGAGCTTTGCTTCAGGAATATTCAGAGCAGAACATTAGTTCCTGTAAAATCTGTATGTCATTTGCTGCTAAAACGGAATGTTGTATGGTCAGTGAGACAGAAGATTACAGGTCAAAAAGGGACAATAGATGGTCTGAGGCAGTTGATTGATCCCAAGATAATTTAATTCTAGTCATATCTGAAGTAAAAAAAACCAACCTGAATGGAACTTGAGTCTTAAAACCTGTTTTGCAGGTGATAGATGTGATAGGGGCATTGAAGGCCAAATCCGGAATTTAGGTCAATTTCCTAAATTTTGTAGGAATGGAGCTGCTAAATATCTTAACAGAGCTTGTCTTGAAGCAGTATAACAAAAATGACATAGAAATATGGAAGGGTTTGTGTTTAGTGCAGAATTTAGATAATACAGAGTTAATGCATGCCATACATTAAGCTGAGGGATACATTTTGTTAATTATCTGCTTGGTTGTGATGCATTTTCAGAATAAAAAACTTAATCATAAAATAGGTAAAATTAGCACAGTAACATCAACTTAAAGTGGGATGGGTTGTCCTAGCACATGGATCACCTAGCTTTTTTTGGTTGGCTAACTGCAACATTGTTTTAATGAGATTTTAAAATACAGTCTTGCTATGGATAATAGGTATGACAAGGTAGGTATTCAGAAAACCCAGAGACTAAAAAAATATGTCATGTAAACCTTTGGTCATGTTGAATTTTGTTATATTTTTACTAGTGCTTTTCTCTGTTTAGTGCAAATAAATCAAGAAGTGTGTGTCATATTGTGTGGCTAAATATCACTGGCTGTTCTTCAGTTAGCTGAATTTGGTTTTGCTCTTCCATTGTTTTAATAAATAGCTCTTTTTAAGTAGTGAGCACGTTTGTCTTGCAGCCTTCACAACATGTTTGGTTTTTTTTCCCCTCCTGTTTCAGCTGTCATTTAGATGTTGATATGTAAAGCAAAATGGCAAAAATCAACACCCAACGCTCCTACCCTGGTATGCACGGAATATCTGTCAGACCTACTGATGAAGATCTTGAAAGGATTGAAAATGGCTGTATCAGGTAACTTACTCCTTCCATCACAGTCAAGAGGACAGATCTGCTGCGTACATTGTGGCACTCCTCTAGCTCTGCATTATGGGTGTGTTACAACAAGATATTGTTGACTTAGTGCACTTCACTGACTTAAGGATGAGTAGCCAAAGTCCGGAAGAGACAGCAACAGGAAGGTTGTCATGGCTCACAGTTTTGGAACCAGAATCTGTATTACCTCAGGATTGAAGCCCATTTTCACATCACTGGGAATCACACCAACTCAGTAAGGAGAAACCTTTTTCTCAAGTCACCACAAGGTCTGTGCTTTCCACAGTCTATGGGATTTGGAGAAAAAGGGATCCTCCCAGTGCCTGGCAGTGAAAACCCTCACAAAGTTGTTGGTTTGTTTGTTTTTGTTTGTTTTTGTTTTGTTTTTTTAAAGCAGCCTCTGACAATTGGCTTGTTCCTGTGATAGAGAACATTTGTGGTGTATAAAGAATATCAACATTTAAATACTGACTTTTCAGAGCCTCTCACTGTACAGTGGAGCTCTAACAGTTTCTTTACATTCACCTTTTTCTGTTTTGTCAGTTTTTAAGTGGCTGTTTAAAATGTGCCAGTGAGCTTCCACTTATATTATACACAGTATCAGTCATCTGTCTAGTCTGGGCAAACCCTGCTGGGCCTGCAGGAAAGTGTCTGATAATCCTAGCACCTGTACAGACTGGAAAGTGTTTTGCTTTTGACTTGTTGTGGTCAACCACCTTCACTAGGGGGACCTTTGTCAGTCTGTGTCTTGCTGGTCAAATGTGTACTTAAGACTAGAGCACTCAAAACCTGCTGGGCTGATAGGGCTGCCTGCATTAGGATAATTTTGGATTGCATCTTGCTCTGATTTAGTAGGGATGTGATAGTTTTCCTGTTTGAGTTGGTCCATTTTTTTTCTTTCTGCTTTGCTTTTGTGATAAGCTTCTGTTACGTAGATGTACCTACACTAGTGAAAATGAAGTTGATTTTATTCTTTACACTGTGGCCTGCTGGACTCAGTTTTACTTCCCCATGGTCTGATTAGGGAGTCCTTTTGTCTCTACAGAGGTACCTCAGAAATGGGAAAACACAGATCAAAATGAGACTCTTTGCCTTTTTTTAATGTCCTTTTTGTAGAGGATATTGGTGATTGGCAGTTTATAGAATGGAATTACTGGCAAGGACGTGAGAGTGTGGTTATAAAGGTTTTAAATGTAGAATTAAATCACTGCACTCATCTGCAGTTTCAGAGGCAGTGACCTGCTTATGACAGATAGAGGGACTGAAATAGGAATTGCACTTCATTGTGATGATGATGGTCTTGAAGAGACATTGATTGCAAAGAAAGTTTGCTGTCATGAGTGTTAATGGAGTTCATAGATGAGTAAAAAGATACAATCTTGCTCTGGATAAGATGCCATATTTTGTTTGGATGTTTTTGGATTGCTGAAGTGATTGCTAGTAAGTATATACAGTACCTTTTGAATAACAGAGAATTCTGATACGTGCTTTTAATTCAGATTTGTTTTAGAGTATATCTGTACCAAAAGACAGATCCCATCCAAAATTTTATCCCTTCTTTGTCTTGTAGCAGAATAGACAGCTATAGACATTGGGAGAAAAGCTACAGGTTTTCTAGAGTAACAGCATTTCTCCTTTCCCTGGATCTTCCTCTGAATCCTGTTGGCTATAGTTCAGGAAAGCAATTAAACACGTTGCATTGAGTGCACCCTCAGCAAGTTTGCCCATGACACCAAGCTGTGTGATGTGGTTGACATGCTGGAAGGGGGAGATGCCATGCAGGGGGACCTTGACAGGCTTGAGAAGTGGGCTCATGCAAAATGCATGAAGTTCAGCAAGGCCAAGTGCAAGGTCCTGCACCTGGGTCAGGGCAATCCCAAGCACAAATACAGGCTGAGTGGAGGATGAATTGAAAATGGTCTGGAGGAGAAGAACTTGGGGGCGATGGTGGATGAGAAGCCCAACCAGCAATGTGTACCTGCAGCCCAGAAAGCAAAATGTGTCCTGGGCTATATCAAAAGTAGCATGGCCAGCAGGTCAAGGGAGGTGATTCTCCCCCTCTACTTCACTCTTGTGAGACCCCACCTGGAGTGCTGTCTTTCATTCTGAAGCCCCCAACATAAGAAGGACATGGAGATGTCCAGGGGAGGGCCATGAAGCTGATCAGAGGGCTCTCCTGTGAAGACTGCTGAGGAGTATGGAGGTGATGATCATGCATGCAAAGCACTTAAAAGATCATGTACTTAGCAATTGTGATTATGTGCTTATAAATGGAGCTAGTAGGACAGTGTTGCTTTTGGTGCCTGATAGAGCTGTCTCTGCACTATTCTACATTGCTTTCCTAAGCATTTATTCACAAGAAAGCTGAGCTCTTCATGGGTAGACTTCTATTTATTGCCAGCAGATGCAAACACAGTAACATCAATGATAAAGCAAACTGGGACTAAAAAAGGTTTACAATATATATATATTTCACAGTGCATTTTAGACAGCAGTTTTCAGCTCCTGCCCAAGCTGTGTGATGTGGTTGACATGCTGGAAGGGGGAGATGCCATGCAGGGGGACCTTGACAGGCTTGAGAAGTGGGCTCATGCAAAATGCATGAAGTTCAGCAAGGCCAAGTGCAAGGTCCTGCACCTGGGTCAGGGCAATCCCAAGCACAAATACAGGCTGAGTGGAGGATGAATTGAAAACGGTCTGGAGGAGAAGAACTTGAGGGTGATGGTGGATGAGAAGCCCAACCAGCAATGTGTACCTGCAGCCCAGAAAGCAAAATGTGTCCTGGGCTATATCAAAAGTAGCATGGCCAGCAGGTCAAGGGAGGTGATTCTCCCCCTCTACTTCACTCTTGTGAGACCCCACCTGGAGTGCTGTCTTTCATTCTGAAGCCCCCAACATAAGAAGGACATGGAGATGTCCAGGGGAGGGCCATGAAGCTGATCAGAGGGCTCTCCTGTGAAGACTGCTGAGGAGTATGGAGGTGATGATCATGCATGCAAAGCACTTAAAAGATCATGTACTTAGCAATTGTGATTATGTGCTTATAAATGGAGCTAGTAGGACAGTGTTGCTTTTGGTGCCTGATAGAGCTGTCTCTGCACTATTCTACATTGCTTTCCTAAGCATTTATTCACAAGAAAGCTGAGCTCTTCATGGGTAGACTTCTATTTATTGCCAGCAGATGCAAACACAGTAACATCAATGATAAAGCAAACTGGGACTAAAAAAGGTTTACAATATATATATATTTCACAGTGCATTTTAGACAGCAGTTTTCAGCTCCTGCTTGGCTCCTGTTCCCTCTAATAAATCAGCATGGTTCTATGCAAGTGGAACATCACATGTTGTCCTTGTATTTCAGTGTGTGTATAGGGGATAGTAAAATCAGAATAAATCTCCCTCCAAAAGTTCAGAAAAAGTTGAATTGGCCCAATTTTCTGGGCCTGACCTCTGTGTGGGGTTTTCTTAGACTAACAAAGAATGCATTCTGACAGTCTTTTTCCTTTTTAAAATTCTACTTCCAAGGATACCTGAAGTATTTTAATCCATGCTTACTTTGTTTTCTGTATTTTTATTCACAACTTTGTTTTGTGATGCCTATATTTAATTACCTGAATTTAGAGCAAATATAACAACTCAATATAGAGTCACTAAAAGCTGTTGAGTTACTGCAACTTAGTGAGATACTCCTCAATTTCTGAGTCACTGATGGAATAAAGTTTCTTATTCATCCAAATGGGAAAGAAAAGATACTGGCTTCAGCCTCCATGGAACACTCTATTTCTTCAAATATATTTATTTTTTTCACATAGGTGACACTTAAAATTATTTTCTAAGAACTCCCACTAGCTTAACAATTATTTTCAGGATTCAGAATTTGTAAGTCAGAACAGAAGCAGCAATATTAAATCTGTTGCTGTCTAGGATCGCACAAAATACCTGTTTTTCTGTAACAAGGAATAAAAGGACTTTAAAACAGCCGTGGCAGTGCAGTCTAAAAGACTGACTAGCACAGTGCCTTTTCTCCAGCAAGACTGTAGGCAGGTGCTCCAGGGAGAAAAAAAAAAAAAAAGCAAAAAAAAAGCAAGTATCTGCAGCATCCTTTCCTTTTATAGTCTCCCAGCATTCAGCTCAGGAGGCTTGGGGAATCTGGCAATCCATAATGGATTTCTGCTCCATGAGTTTATTCATCCTCCTCTAGAAGCCATGAGGGAGATTTTGGTATCCACAATATTTTCAGCACCCACAATATAAAGCAGGGCATAAAAGTTTTTCAATACTGAACAGTGTCTCTTGTTGTCTTCTTATTAGAAGAGAAGAAGACAATTAACAAGTTGAGAATTCTGGGATTGGCAGAACCTTTATTTTTTTGTCATGGTTCCTTGTGTAGAAATGATAAAGTTTTAATTCTGTTTGTCAGTTTCTCAGCTGTGACTACACACAACATTTAGTTTCTAATTATCCTCTTATGGGTATTCAAAATGCTGTTGCCAGTTCTTATGAAGATACTGCAAGTATCATTGTTGTCAGTGTTTTCCTGGCAATACAGATTAACAGAGTCATGTGAGAGTTGTTTGCATTACAAAGGGGAGAAAAAAGTGATCCCTAGTGGATGTGACAAAGTCTTGTGAAAGAGAGTATTAAAGAATGAAAACCACAAAGAAAACCTTAGCTGCCCTTGAAAAAAATTCCATAGTGAGCTTTGGTGAAGTTCAAGTTCCAGTGGAGTACATTTCAAAACTCCCTTAACTGGAAGATAAAGCTAAAATTTCATCCATTCTCCCCAAATGCTAATTATTTCAGTGCTAATAGGCACTCTTACAATTACAGGACCTCATGGCAGCTAGCAGACACTGCACAGAGCTTAATTTATCATCAGTGCCTGCAATTGTGTGCAGCTGGGCTGTTGCAGGGCTTTTCTTGAGGGGCAGTAGCCTGAGAGATGCTGCATCTCCTGGCTGCCAGAGCAGCCCTGAAGCCCAGTTGCCTGTTTTGCTGTGCAGTAGGGGCAGTTTTAGTTAAAAGGGAAGCAGCTTCAGGTCTGCAGTTGTGCAGCTGGCAACAGCAGGCTTGTAAGAACAGCAGTGGTCATCCTCAGGACCAACTACTGCAAAATCACCATTTTCCCTTTCAGGCCAAGCAAGAGTGAAAGCAAAAAGAGATGTGGATTTGCTTTGAGTCATAAAAAGGAACCACACTGGTAGAAATTCTGGATTGTTAAACTCAAAACAATGTCTAGGAGAGCAACACTGAAAAAAGCAGTGAGGAGTCACTTTAAAACTCCTTGGGGGTGAACTCCATGTTGAAGGAAAGCTGCTGATAACCTTACAGGATGTGATATGCAGTAGAAAACATGCTTCTCATAATGGTGTATCTGCATAGCAAAGTAGTACTGACCAGTAAAGAGTAATCAGGTTCTGAGTTTGCTGGGATGGATGGCAGAGCCTCCACTGACTTAATTTTGTGTTGGATGGCTCCAAAAAAAGTAGGAATATAGAATCATAGAATCACTTAGGTTGGAAAAGACCTTCAAGATCATCGAGTCCAACCATTAACCCTACTCTACCAAGCCCAGCACTAAGCCACATTCTCAAGTGCCACATCTAGACGACTTTTAAACACATCCAGGGATATTGATTCAAACACCTCCTAGGGCAGCCTGTTCCAATGTCTGACAACCCTTTCAGTGAAAAGGTTCTTCCTAATGTTTAGTCTAAATCTCTCCTGGTGCAGCTTGAGGCCATTTCATCTTGTTCTATCACTTGTGAGAAGAGACCAGCACCTACATCTTTACAACCTCCTTTCAGGTAGTTGTAGAGGGCAAGGAGGTCTCTCCTCAGCCTCCTCTTCTTCAGACTAAATAGCCCCATAAGACTCCCATAGCTCCTCATAAGACTTGTTCTCAAGGCCCTTCACCAGCTTCTTTGCCCTTCTTTGGACACACTCCAGCACCTCAATGTCCTTTGTGCATTGAGGTGCCCAAAACTGGACACGGTATTCAAGGTGAGGCCTCAGCAGTGCTGAGTACAGATCACCTCCTTGGTCCTGCTGGCCACATGACTTCTAATATAGGCCAGGATGCCATTGGTCTTTTTGGCCACACTGCTGGCTCATGTTCAGCTGCCTATCAATCAGAACCCCCAGGTCCCTCTCTGCTGGGCAGCTCTCCAGCCATTCTTCCCCTTAGCTTTCTCTTTAACAAGTGTATGCCACCTTACTAGGAAGAGCAGAGTTTGCTTCACAGTTTGCCTATTTAGTGGTGGAAAGAATCAGATGGGAGGAAGTCTGCTCGAGGCTGTATGGAATTATTTTTTTTAAAATTGCTTTTGCAGAACCCATCCACTGTGTGAGGATGCATCTTCAGAACTCCAGAGAGTCATTTCTGTGGACGGAAGAAACATATCTGAATCTCAGATGAGCTCATTCACAGGCAGGGGAGCAATGGCAAGGTAACTAATACCATTTCCAGTATTCAGTTTAAATTGTTTCAAAGAGCAAAGTAAAAAATAATCATAATACTGGAGTAACATAAAAAATGTTTTCACTTCAGCCTTTTGTGTGGTGCAGAATAAACTTGTATTTCCCTGTTTGGTTGTCAGATAGTGATACCACTTCTTGTGGATTACAAAGTCTGGAAGAAGTTGGTTTCAAGTGAAAACAGTGTATGTAAACATAAAGCATGTTAATATATAAACTCATATTGAGAACTTCCTTTTTAATCTTTGCTTATATTGTTCTTGACTTTTTTTCAGGATGGTTTGAATTACACATGTGAAGCTACACTTACTTATGCTCTGAATATGCAGGAGCATATTAATGAAAACATGAATACTTAGCAATTTAAATATTATGGTAAAATAATATGCCTCTTGAATGCAAGTTCTCAAGGACCTAAGCCAACAGCACCTGATAAGACTTCTCTGTCTTTGAAATGTAAAGGACAAAAATGTGAAAATAATACAGCATTGCAGAAACCAGAAAATTCTGATTCTTTGTTCAGATAGAGAGGCTCTCAGTCTTATTTGGTACAATTATTTGTTCCTTAATGAGTAGGTCTTATAAAAATTCTTTATTTTCTAACATAAGTAAGATCATCCATATCAGTAGTTTTCCATACCAATCCTTATGTGACAGCTGAGCCCTGCTCAGGCAAGGAGAAAAATTCTGTAGCTTAATTTTATGCAACATTTTTTTAATAGAATGAGAGATCTATTAAATAATCTCAGACTTATGTGGAGCTTCTCTTTTGTGTGTGTTCTTGCTAGGCTTTGAATTCTCTTAATTGTTGGAAATTGTAGGTGATATATATGATGCTATATTGGTGTAGTGCTAAAGAACTAGAAATATCTTACAATTTATTATATTACTCGGGCCCTTTTTTATCCTTTTATTTGAGAGTAACCAGGGCAGGTTCCATGAGAAGGTGTAGTTAGGCCCTTGAGAACTGCAATCAAGAGACTTTACCCTAAGATTAAAACTGTTCATATCAACTGCTTTGTGGATTCTAAGCACATGTAATCCTGGCAGATGGAGGGAGAATGTAAAGAGCTTTCCTTTAGTGGCCCAAAGTCTCTGTAAGAAGTTCAGCACCCTTCAGGTTTTCATTACCTTCTTTTTGAGGCCAGATTTGGGAAATCTGAATTAACACCACTCTTGCCCAAACTAGACTGCTGATAGGAAATAATACAGCATATTTTTTGGGTAACAAATATAATATCTTTTTTTAGATTTCAGTCTCCGTTATTTCTGCTTTTCAGAAACGTGTTTCCTTTTGATCTTTGACAGAAAAATTATAGGGATTAGTAATGTGAGTTAGTGGATAGAGACAAAGATACATAATGGTTCAGTGATTAATTATGTTGTAATGATTTTTTGCTTATCTCATTTCAGTGATCTACTAGAAACTTAGAATGAGGAAACAGTGCTTCCTATTCAGTAGGCAGGTTTATATGTGACAGGCGATTAATTTGTCTGCAGACAGACCCTTTAAAATCACAGGGCAAGTGGCTGAATTGTTACTGTTCCTTCTTTCAAAGCCCATCCTTCCTCACTGACTATTCAGCTTTGTTGCCACTGTGTGTACCTGCCCTTGAGCATGTGATCCCATTAATATTTTGTATCTCCTAATTCTGTCAGCATGGGATTCCTTCATTACCACATCAGCATTAGAAATTTGTCAGAAGTCAACTGCCCCACCCCAATGACTGGATTTGCCTCCACTTGGCAAGAATATTCTGTTGCTCTTGTGGTGGGTGCTAGTGCAGCGCCCTGGGAACTGATGTGAGAGATACTTTCCTGACCCCACTGCAAAAGGTGATGTATGAAATTGTGGGAAGTGCCTGGGTTCACACAGTTAACCCATCACGTTTAATTTCATGGTAGGTGGAGAAGTGGAGCAAACTCCTCCTGGGCTGCTCCTCGTGGGGATGATTCGAAGCGTCTGGTACTCTTGTCTGGTTTAGTCACTGTTGTGTCTCTGTTCCATGCAGGCTCTCACGGTTTGTCGTGTCCACAAGGTCGTGGGCCACGAGACACTTGCACCATGAAGACCAAAGACCTGATTCTTTCCTGGAACGTATCCAAGGGCCAGAGCTTGTAGAGGTGTCCAGCAGGCAAGCGAACATCCGCTCCTTTCTGGGCGTGCGGGACCGGCCTGGGGGCGCAAGCAGGTAAGGAGATGTGTTTGTACTTTGAAGGAAGACAGCTGAGCTTACGGTATCTTCTTGGCAATTAAGATGTTTTATTTTAATAAGAGAGTAAGGAGCTTAACATAGAAGATGAACAGAGCATTTAATGATGCCCAGGAGTCTTCTTATAACTGAACTATTATGGCTTTCAGGAGACTTCCCCTTTCCCCCTCACTGCACTGTAGCAAAGACCTTGAAGTAAAGGATTTTGATCATGTTGCTTCCACCAGAATGGAATTTTATCACGTGCTACCTGTGCAACTTGATGTTGCTACTTTTCTACTACCTCTGCTACCTCTTTACTGAGGATGAATGCCATTTCAGTTTCAAGATTCTAGGATGTTGCTAGTTGTGACTTTTCAGGACATTCATGTTGTGCACATTATCTGTGAGCGTTAGGAAGCTCCAAACAAGCAGTTTTGTGTGTCATTGCTTTGTTACATCTACTCAGGAGTTTAGCTGCCAACATGACAGAAGACTTCTGATGCAAAAATGAGAAAATCTTTTGGCTGCTTTAATAGCACATATTCTTTGGCATGGAAGGCATGTTCATGCTTAGGTTAAATTTTTTGCAAGAGAAACCTTTATGTGTTTACAGTCCTTTGACTTGTGTTTTAAAATTAACTCCAGCTAAAAGAGGAGAATGAAGTCCCAAGACAAACGGTGCTTTTCTGTTTGGTAATATGCTCTGAAGCATAGACTCCCATATTTTGTTGCATAGCAAAAATCTGGTAGATAAGCAAATAATAAGTTGTTTTCTTTCAAAAATCTCAGCTAGCAATTCAGATTAAAGCAAGAACCTTTGAAGGGCTGCACATCATACAAGATAGCTGAATTTGTTGTGGTCCAGCACAACTTATCCTCACTTGATCTGTTTTGTAGAAATTCAGCTCAAAGGCACATTTTGTTGAATTAGCCAGATTCTGATTTTTCAGACATCTGGGTCAATAGCAACTGCAGATTCAAAGTAATTAGAGAGAACAACATTGATCCTGGTTTAACAAACCTCTATATAAGGCTATTATTTCACAGAAAGAGTGGTTAGACACTGGAATAGGCTGCCCAGGGAGGTGTTTGAGTCACCATCCCTGGATGTGTTTTAAGGGTCATTGGGATGTGGAGTTGGTGGATCTGGTTTAGGGGAGAACTTTGTAGAGTAGGGATGATGGTTGAACTTGGTGATTCCAAGGGGCTTTTCCAACCTGAATAGTTCTATGATTCTATGATTCTGTGATAAGGCTTAACTCTGCAGCAATGGTGGGTATGGTTGTTACTTATCCTCAAGGCTTGGCTCTTGTGAAGAAGACTTGAAAGGATTGAAGAAAGCTTAAAATAGTAGACAAATGAGTACAGGGCTAGAAATAGTGAGGGACATGTTGCCATGCTCTAATACGCCTGAGAACAAGCTTCAGACATGAGATGTGGTCACAAATGTGTGTGCCAAGCACAGGGTAAAAACAAACTGTTGCCTTGAAGTAGTTATGCAATGGGGCTTATCTCTGCAGTCAAAGTTGATTTTCCTAATCTGATCAGTGCGTATGTAAGAGAAGCTAGTAAGTCAGTCCATCATGTCTGTAAACACGTGTATGAAGTACCAACAGTCTTTACACTCTTTAATGTGTTTTATTTAACTCTCTGCAGTCATTGGCCCCTGGCCAAGTTTAATGTCAACTTTAGCAACAACACCAATGAAGAGTAAGTACTGCTAAGATCCAAACACCTTTCTGATACTAGCTCCTTCTGTATTTCCCTGTATAGCCTAGTAACCTATGTAGTATAAAATTCTTAGCTCTTCCTAAAAATATAGATTAATGATAAAGTTCTAGTTTTCTTAGTATGAAAAGCATCCTTCATGCTCCCTGTGAACTTTGGTTTTTTGTCTGAAGTTACTCTTACCCCTCGAGGAATGAATTTGTTTAAGTATTTAGTCCCTCCCTCCTCTAGTTCAGCTGGCTGATTTTATTGCATTTATTCTTCAGTTTTTCAACAAGATTCATGTACTCATTTTCTAATAGTGATTTTCCTCCTTCAACATAGTAAGTCCCTTTTTGCAAATCAAGTGCCTCAAAAGTTTCAGGTTGTCTGATGAGAAGTAGATACTGATCAGGGTACCAAGAAAACACTCGTGTGCCGTCTAAATGAAAACTAACCATCTTTTGAAAACGTGTGTTTCAGTTCAGCAGATATTGTTGGTGTAGATGTAGAGAGAGTGACAGGCAATATAATGAGGCTGGCATTGCAGCAGAAGCTCTAACAAAAGCTGTCCTTTGGAGTCTATTTTCTAGATTTGACAAAACATCTCACAGTGCTACATCAAAGAGAAATACCTTGAAAAGGTGAAGAGCTCTCGCAGTTTAAAGTCACTCAACACCAATGTCTGATCACAGCTATCTTAAGATGTACCCATCTGCTCTGCAGCATCCAGCAGCAGATCTGTTCTCAAACATGATGATGGTTATTTTTTTTCATTGCCTTTCAAATGAAAAAAATTTAAAATTATCAGGACAATTTCTGATTGTCATAAATACTTTCAGGAAACTATTGGGTTTTTTTCCTCTAAATAGCTTGATCACCTTTGTGCTTACACCTAAACGAGAGGTCTTCCTGCTTCTGAAGCAACTGTGAATTAGCCCTTAGGTCAGGCACCACGCACAGTAACGTGCAGTGAAATCTTGATGTTTTTTAAATAGGAAAGAGTTTTTTGGGGCAGGTTGGAAAGAGAAGCCATAGAATTCCAGAGGGGGTCAGTGGCAAAGAAATAATGACTTGAGCAGTAGTAGTTCCCACTGCCATGTAGAAACCAGTATTGGTAAGTGAAAAACTGTTTCTTTGAGTTGAGATGCATGTATAAATAGAAGATCAGTCAACCCAAAGGTTCTTTTCTCCTCCAGTTTTTGTCTCTTACAGTGATGATGATTTGAAAGGTTTCAGGGGTGTGGGTTAGCTAGGCAGGTGTTTCTCTGGCCGTGGAGGTGTGTAGGATCTCAGCATTTTTTAGCAAATGAGTCTAGGCTTTTCTCAATTACACTGAGGTGCTGCAACACTATGGAACAGTCTAAGGGTAAGAATTGAAACAGGTGCTCATTGCTGATAGCTGAAAGCTACTGCTGGATGTATTTATATTTATCTTAAAGTTGGTGATTGTTGTCTTCTCCCTCACAGTGCTTCTGCCTCTCTGTAACAAGCACATTCATAGACAGGGCTGCCATTCAGAGTGCAGAGTTTTCCTGATCTGAATAATGCAAGCAAGTGTACATGAAAAGCACAAGTGAGGTCACTAAAGATTTTACCTGTTGGTTTAACTCCTGGAAGCAGCATTTTTTCAACTTTTATGACGCATTCTGTCTTTGCTGTGGGATGTTTGTGTTGTTGAACTAGTTTGTCCATTATTGACACCAGCACCAGGGAAGAATCAGACCCAGTCGTGGCAGTTCAGAGGAGAACACTTAACTCCCATGGGAGCAGGAGTCCACAGCTTTCATCCAAGCCAGGCATTATGTGCTAATGTATGCATTATCCACACACACTGTAGTGTCAGGAATGTTTAGTCATTTCTGTCTAAGCAATGGGGACACTTTCAGCTTCAAGAAATACAGAAATTTCAAATACAGAACAGAGAGATCTCAGATGGTGGATATTGTGCTTGTGCAAATGGGTGCAGTTCTTCAGCTTACATGGTTCTTGAAGTAAAGGATTTTGATCACGTTGCTTCCACCAGAATGTGCATGTAGCACATTCAGCTCTAAGACTAAGTATTGACAGAATCTTAGGTAAGATGTTAACTTTCAGCAGTTTTGAAGAGGTTGTGTGAGCCTATCTGCACAAGTTAACCTAGCTCAAGACTTCTGTTCAGACAAATCTAAGAATGGGAGAAGTCAGATGCATCTTTGTCTCTGGCTTATCACATTCTAGTGAGCTAAAACCTGTACATACTTGAGCAGTATGAAAAATCTGTATCTAGAATTAAATATTGCAGCTTGAGTCTGTGCTGGATACTATGCAGTGGTAGGATATAATTATGTTAAATGGTCCATATTTTCCGTTACTGCATGAAAAGCAATTAATAAACATGGGGACAATAATGACTCCATTAGGTCTAGGCAAAATTCCCATTGCATTTAGCAAGGATGGAACTTCATGCTTAATGCTCAGCCTTTGAATATGGTGGCAATCAGATACAGGCAGAGCAACTTGGGCATGGCTCCTCTGATCACACACAGAGACCTGCATCTGAACTAGGCAACCCATTCTTCCTTTACAGTTGATGGAAAGAAGACAATGCTTTTGGGGCACATGTCATCTTGTAGGTATGGACTATCTTGTAAATACAGTAGATCTGCACTGTAAGGTACAGGGTCTAAAGTATGTTGGCTTAATCATGTTGACTATAAAGCATTTGTAAAATTATGATGTAGTTAAATAAGGCACAGCTCTTCACATTTGCTGGTTTTGTTCCAGCATTGACTGGGATTCTTTCCCAAGACAATCGTTGAAGCCCAAGGTGATGAATTAATTATAGCTTTGTTGATTTTAAAGAACTCTGACAGGAAATTCAGCCTCATTTCATTTTCTCACCATTAAAGCTTCAGACAGTCATTGTGAGGTTTTGGATATGCAAAGAATGTGGACAGTTTGTTAAGCCATTTCAAGTTCCATTTATAATTTTATAGATTTCTTCTTAAAGGCCTGAGTTGGTAAAGGATGAAACAAATTGGAATAATTTAATTAGACACTTGTACACAGTACACTGATGTCTGAAAAGGCAAGAAGGTGTGGGTGTGTAATGCACAGAATCAGCCAGCTGGTTACCTGATGTGACAGTGTGGTGGTCTCAGTTCAAGAGGCCTCACACAGCCTGTAAACCTTTTTTACCAGTTGGATCCCTCTCCTGCTTCATCTGTAGTCTAGTCTAGTTTCCTGTACCTCAACACCCACCCCCTCCCTTAACTGCTAGAATATTGGTAATATTGCTAAGCCTTACATTATGTTGTACAGAAAAAAGGAAGAAAAGAAAGAGGTTAAAGAGGAAAAGAAGGAGGAAAAGAAAGAGGAAAAGAAAGATGACAAAAAAGATGACAAAAAAGATGATAAAAAAAAAGAAGAGTAAGTATAAAGAATGAATGTGTGCTTGTAACAGAGCTCCTACACTACAAAGCAGGACATGGCATTTCACAGTAACACTTCCACAACGTGTTAGCCTGTCAGATCTTTCATATGTTTTCCCTTTGGAAAGGTGCAACTGCTCAACAAACTTGCTTCATCTTTAAGACTTGTGTTAGACCTTTCATGCACAGGTCAGTAAAAGGAAATTCAGCAACCTCTCAACACTGTGATTTCCTGTTGAAGATGACTTTTTTACTATGAGGCCTGCTTTGCACAGGCTTTTTGTTGTACCAGTGCCCATGGTGATTCAGAGCAGATGAACAAGAAGTCTGGTTTGAACAAAGAGCAAAATTCTTACCTGTAGAAAATTACAGATTTATGAATAAGTTTAGTTATCACCCTGAATAGCATATTTAATTACTTATTATGGTACAGTTCATTACCAGTGATCACTGAAGTTTGGCTCTACTGATGAGGAGATGCTGTGTTTCTGCAACAAAATGGAATCATTTGAATGCTGCTGACAGAAATGGATCCTGCTCTTGTATTATTCCCCCCCAAGCTCTCCTGAACATAGTATAATTCAGTATTACCAGTCCTTAAAAATAACAATTATAGTAGGTAAAAAGAGAAGGCATTTGCATGGACTTTCCACTTAAGGAAATCTGCTCAGTCACAGTATCCTGACTTCTTTAATCCAAGCGTTGTTTGATTAGAAAGCCTTTGTTCTAAGGATTCTCCCTCAGCTTTAATTAGTGAGAGCCTGAGCTTTGCAGTGGCCTAAAATGTTTAAAAACATTTCAGCCAAGATAGCTTGTAATGTTGAGAGGGTAGTGTACTGTGTCATAACAGGACTATATTTAATGGTCTCCACTTTTGAGGTGGTGACCAGTTTTTTTAGAAGAATCGGCTCAAAATTGTTGTGAAGATGGCAAAGGAAATACGTTTTAGATCAAAGCAGCTTCCTCTACTAACATGAACATCTAGACATTCAGCTAATGCCAGAAATACACAGAAATATAAAAGAAATTATAATTGCTTTTTAATATATTTACATTATTGGAGATGAGGAAAAGTCACACCAGTCCATGTGCAGGCGTTGCTGGGTCACATATTCCCTGCACTGTTACACAGTTCTCAGATTGCAGGGTCACAATTGCTGTTGGAACAACTTCTGCAGCTGTGGACCTCACAATCCACCAATATGTATTTCCTCTGGTAACATATAACATGCCTAATTGTTGTCTGTTCCATAGCAGCCTGTCTGGTGCTGAGGAAGGGCACTCATGAGCTACTCTACACCTGCCATTAGCCATGCTGCTCTTGAAACCTTGTTTAAATTCCAAGCCTGTACTCTTCATTTAGCATCTCTCGTTGTTTTGAGACCTAGGCAGCCAGGACTGTGAATGTGTGACATTTGCTTTTTCATAATAATACACATTTCAGTTCTAGTCACACACTATCTGTGCATGTGCACACACCAAGTCTTACTTGTATGAACATGTATTTGAATACACGTGTTTTATTTGTTTAAATACATGCTTGTACAGTCATTTCCACAATAGGATTTGCCAGAAACATCAACATTGATCTACAAAGGAAGGCTCTCTAGCCATGGATCATAGCCTTGTAGCTGAAATGATAACAAGAATCATTCAATATTTTGGGGTTTTTTTTCAGTAGGGCTCGTGCAGAATGTGGTTTTCGGCCTGGGCAATGTAAATGTCTTTGTTTTTCATTCCACTTTTACTAACTTTTTTCCAAAGTTGGGTCAAGCAAATAAACAGAGTATGTCAGATGGGATGAAGCTAGGATCTGGCATCTCATCTGAAACTGCCTACATGGATTACTTTCTCTTCTTAGGCAGCTGTGAGTTCCTAGTGAGATAAGCAGACTCCAGAAGAGGGGAGATCCAGCAGGTCACTTATTTACAATTCTAGTGTAAATCTGCATGTTTTCCTTTCCAGGCAAAAAAAAGAGGTCTTTGTGGTAGATCCTTCAAGCAACATGTATTACAACTGGCTGACCATAATTGCAGCACCTGTGTTCTATAACTGGTGTATGCTGGTGTGCAGGTATGGATTTAAGTTAACAGCCATTTAGTGTGTCCTTATGTTTCCTATGTAAGTCACCCTCTTATCTCCCTGTGGTATTTTTGTGTGGCTTCCCTAGAAGAGTCACAGTTCATACACCCTTGGGGATACAGGACATCTATACCACTGGAATCCAATGGCCAGTGTTTCTTTCGATGCTTTTCTCTGAAACCAGTTCGTTTAAAGCTGGCAAAGTGTGTCCCTGGGAGTGCTGGCTGTGGCCTTTGTGTGCCACCTACCGGCTTGCTGCAGGGATATGCAGGCTCAGAAACCACTGCTAGATCACCCAGTAGAGAACAGAAGAGAGGGGTGTGTGTGCAGTGTTGGGCTGCCTGAATATAGTATCATGCAGCTGTAGGTCTTGGAAGGGCAGAAAGGTAGTACTCGAGTATTTATTTTCCCTTGTAAAATATGGAAAGCAGTTTGAGTCAAAGTAGTGGTTCACTTAGGCTGTGTCAGAGGGCAGGGAGAGATGAGGATGGCTTGCCACTCAGAAACAAATAGATGTTCAAACTGTCAAGAATATGCCAGTAAAGAAAATCTAAAATGGCAAGTTACCTTTTAAGATGGAATCTTACTACTGGGAAACCATGAGCACAAAATACTGCTATCTGCTATGTTAAAAAGTAGTTTAGAAATTACTCATCTGTTGCAAGAGCAACACATGGTCAACATCCACAATCAAATATAGCTTTAATATATTACAGTGGAAATAAAATATTTTGATTCTGAAGCCCCCAGCATAAGAAGTACATGGAACAAAGAGGAGAAAGTCCAGAGAAGGGCCACAAAGATGATGAGAGGGCTGGAGCACCTCTGCTGTGAAGACAGGCTGAGAGAGTTGGGGTTGTTCAGCTTGGAGAAGAGAAGGCTCCAGGGAGACCTCATAGCAGCCTCCCAGTGCCTGAAGGGGCTACAGGAAAGCTGGGGAGGGGCTTTTTATAAGGGTGTGTAGTGAGAGGACAAGGGGTAATGGTTTTAAGCTGGAAGAGGGGAGATTTAGGTGAGACATTAGGAAGAAATTATTTAGTGTGAGGGTGGTGTGACACTGGCACAGGTTGCCCAGAGAAGCTGTGGCTGCCCCATCCCTGGAAGTGTTCAAGGGCAGGTTGGATGGGGCTCTGAGCAACCTGGTCTGGTGGGAGGTGTCCCTGCCCATGCAGGGGGGTTGGATCTAGGTGATCTTTAAGGTCTCATCCAACTCACAGCATCCTGTGATCTTATATTTGGGAATTATCTTAATTGAGACGTGTATCCTACTAAATCTGATGCATGTTTAATTGCAGGGCTCCGTGTACTCCTCCATAAGGGCACCTGTATGGTATATATGTATTTGGGTTTTGTTTCTGGCCTGAGCCCCTTTGAATCCTAAGATCCTAGTGTCTCTTTAGTCTCTTTAGACATAGCTCTTGTGTGTGGATGTCTAGGCAAGGAGATATGCTGATGTAATTTTTCAGTGCCAGTCTGGTGCACTACCATGCTGCTGGGACACAGATTGCAAGTACGCTGCTTGTGCAGTTGATGTGACTATTCTTTTATTATTATTTTTTTTGTACCTTTGTTTCTTTAGAGCCTGCTTTGATGAGCTACAAATTGACCATATTAAATTATGGCTCTTCTTGGATTATATCTCTGATATCATCTATATTTTTGACATGATGGTCAGATTCAGAACAGGTGAGTCCATGTGGGATTTTACAGTGTTTTCAGACACAGGATGGATATAAAGGCTGGAAACAGAAATTCCCCTGGGAGGTCTGACCTGTAAGTATCCTGTCTGCAGCAGAGCCCAACAGTGGAGGCTTTGGGAAGATGAAGTGTCTGACCAGCTTGGATTGTTTTAAGGCTGGACATCCCAACAAATGCTCTTCACTTGTCTCTAAATTAGGTTCTGTCAGTGCTTAACAGGCATGCCAGCCTGGCTACTGTCACAGGCTGCCTGGGGAAGGGAGAATAAGGCCCCTCTCATGTCATGATTGCTGTGTGCGTGGTCGTTCTTGTGCTCATTGGATGGGGCAAGAAACCAACTGCATCCCACAAGTGCTGCTTTCCTAGCCAAGCTGTACTTCCTGCTCAGAAGTGGTTATTGAGTTGGTCAAGTGCAAGACTTGGCACCCAGTGCAGCCTCCAGTCTGCAGCCCCTGCCTGGAAGCAGCAGTGCTGCTCCTCTGCCACCATCCAGGTCACCTGCAGCCTCTGCAAGGTCCTGGCTGGGTCTCCCACTGCCTGGTGGTGGTACTGGGTTAAGCCAGCTGGGTGGTGGCATGGGATGAACCCGAAGGAACTGGCAAAATGTGATAATACCTAGTACAGAGGGAATGTTTTGCTTTTCTCTCAGTGGACTTTTCCTCCTGACTGGCCTAGTGGCCAGACGGTTGGGACATCTCCACTTGCAATTGCAGCAGATGTTTATTTGGCAGTGCATGGGCTGTTCCCTGCAGAACATTTTCAATGCCTTGAACTTTGAGAAGTACCAAACAGCACTGCAGCTGTAGTGCTCAGGCAGCTTTTCTATGAGAACTCTTACACAGATGCAGTTTACTTAATGGTCTCTCATGGCAATTTATGCCGTCTCATAATTTAACATACAGATACTTTTCAAAGTGTTTTGAATGAAGAAATACCAAGGTACAAAATTCTGCTGTCTCATCAGAAACACAAAATAACTGTGAACCATTTTCCTGAAATGAAAAGGAAAATCCTGTCATCTTTAACATTGGACATGAGGAAAAGCATAGTACAGGGAGGGGGAAAAAATGGATTTCTTTATCTTAAGGGGATCTATATTGTTCTGAAAAAGTTTCCAACAATCTATTATACCTAATTATTCTTGTTATTTACTTTAACATCTTCTCCAATTTTATACACAATTGCTTAAGACTTGGTTAACTTTAGTTATGACTCATGCCAATGATTCAGGAAAAATGAGACATTTGAGTCTCCCCTTTCTTTTTGCAAAGATACCTAAAAGGAAAAGATACAGCTGTCCTAGAATAGAGTGGAAAATTGCAGAGACTGCTGTGGTAATAACAGTCATTGCTCTTTATCATGATTTGTCAGCTTTGAAACTTCATGGAAAGATTTAAATTGGCAATGAGTATTTTTCATCAAATGAACTCTCAGTGTATCAATGTCTGTATTCATTGTGATCCAAATTTTCATGTTCTCAGGTACCTGAAATGTCAGTCACTCAGTCCTGCTGGTGGGGTTTTCATGCTAACACGCGAAATGTGTGTTTCTTGTTCTCTGAAGGTTTCCTGGAACAAGGCTTGCTAGTTAAGGATGAAAAGAAATTACGAGATAACTATGTCAAAACTTCGCAGTTCAAACTGGACGTGATGTCCCTTGTGCCGACGGACCTGGCGTATTTGAAGTTTGGGCTGAACTACCCCGAGCTGCGGTTTAACCGCTTGCTGCGCATCGGCCGGCTCTTCGAGTTCTTTGACAGGACTGAGACCAGGACAAATTATCCCAACATGTTCCGGATTGGAAATCTTGTCTTGTACATTCTTATCATCATTCACTGGAACGCGTGTATATACTTTGCCATTTCAAAGGTGATTGGATTTGGAACTGACACGTGGGTCTACCCTAATGTGAGCGTTCCGGAATATGCGCGCCTGTCTAGGAAGTACATTTACAGTCTGTACTGGTCAACGCTGACGCTGACAACCATTGGAGAAACACCTCCCCCAGTGAAAGATGAAGAGTATCTGTTTGTGGTCATTGACTTCCTGGTGGGTGTGCTGATCTTCGCTACCATTGTCGGTAACGTGGGCTCCATGATTTCCAACATGAATGCCTCCAGGGCAGAATTCCAGGCCAAGGTGGATTCCATTAAACAGTACATGCATTTCCGAAAAGTGACTAAGGACTTGGAAGCCAGAGTTATTAAGTGGTTTGATTACCTCTGGACCAACAAGAAGACAGTGGATGAGAAGGAAGTGCTCAAAAATCTGCCTGACAAGTTGAAGGCTGAAATCGCCATCAATGTCCATTTGGACACCCTGAAGAAAGTGCGTATATTCCAGGATTGTGAAGCTGGGCTTCTCATTGAGCTGGTGCTGAAACTGAAACCTACGGTCTTCAGCCCTGGGGACTACATTTGCAAAAAGGGAGATATTGGGAGAGAAATGTACATTATTAAAGAGGGGAAACTGGCCGTGGTGGCGGATGATGGCATCACCCAATTTGTAGTCCTGAGCGACGGCAGCTACTTCGGTGAAATCAGCATCCTGAACATCAAAGGTAGCAAGTCTGGCAACAGGAGGACAGCCAATATAAGGAGCATTGGTTATTCTGATTTGTTCTGCTTGTCTAAAGATGATTTAATGGAAGCCCTCACAGAATATCCAGAAGCCAAAAAAGCTCTGGAAGAGAAGGGGCGACAAATTCTCATGAAAGACAATTTAATAGATGAGGAAGCAGCAAAAGCAGGAGCTGACCCAAAAGACTTGGAAGAAAAAATAGGAAAACTTGAAACAGCTCTGGATACACTGCAGACCAGGTTTGCGAGGCTCTTGGCAGAATTCAGCTCATCTCAACAGAAGGTGAAGCAGAGACTTGTCAAAGTAGAAACCAGAGTGAAAAAATATGGTAGTGGCACCTTATCAGTTGGAGAAGGAGAGGCTGAAAAACCTGAGGAGAAAAAGCAGTAATGGAGTGTTTGTATTTCCCCATTTACTGGAGAAAGTTGAGGCATCTGAAAGACATAAATGTATGTAAATATGCGTGTGCATACATAGACATGATTATTTTTCTATGAACTCAAGAGAATGGTTTTTAGCATTTTTAACTGAAGCAGTATTTTCTTGTAAACAGAACATTGTCACCTTCTTAGGGGGAGAATATAGCCTGGCATCTGGGTACTTTTTTGTACTGGGAGTGGGTTTCTTACAAGTCATGCTCAGAACATGTTATGTATGGTACCTGTAGGTCTCGATACATTGTCTTAGCCCACAGATGTTGCATTAACGCATTGAAGTAGAGGAGGATGTTTGGGTTTTTTTTTAAAGGCTTAAAAAAGTATTTCTAGGGTACACACTCTACCTTAGCAGCTGACTAACTGCATGGATGCACAGCTGGGCTTCCTGAACTCGGTTCTTTCACAGTGAAGTGTCTGCACAGTTGGACTACAGCTCAGCAGCAGCACAGACCTGACCTGTGCACTGCAGTCCTGCAGGTGGATGAAACAGCCATGCATCTGGATGATGTATGTCCCTCATGAGTTGGACTCTGTGCAAAGGACCATGCTGACAGGGTAGCAGTGCTCATGCACCTCCTTTCTGGTGTGGTCTGGAACAGCCTTTGCTGCTTTGCAACTGCTCTGTTTGGGGAGAAAGTGGGAGATCCCTTTAGGTTTTTTTTTTTTAAGCCCAGCTCTGTCCTCACAGATGAGACCCTCACTTGTAAGGGAGGCCCCAAAAGCTCACTGGTGGAAGGCATTGGTGATGATATGGCTTCACTGAACTGGGGAAGAAAGGAGGCCCTGTGCATGCAGCTCCTATATGCAAGGTCTTGAGTGAGTTGCCTCCCATCAAGTGGACAGTCCTGGAGAGAGGCTACAAGAAACTGCTGGGCTGGCAGGTAGGGACAGCCTGATCCCCGCAGCTTCCCACCCCCAGCAGGGTTTCTCCAAGGCAGGGTGAACAAGCCCTGTGTTGCAAAGTCTTTCCTGCTACTATGTCTGTGTTTTCTTCCTTTTTATTTAATGATGCCTACTCCCACCTCCTTTCACTATTTAGTACCAGTTTTTCTCTGAAGTATTTGTTGCTCTGCCATGTTTCCATTAGTTAGGCAGCCTGAAGGCCACATTTGCTCTGGTCCTGCTGATAGGAGCCTGGTGGTGGTGGTTGCTTTTCTACTTTCTGCACAGCATTCATTGCTGCCAACAGTCTGGCTGACAGCTAGATACACAGCTCTGGGTCCCCTCAGCCTACTTTGACACTCAGGGGGGAACAGTAACTGAGAAGGTTTCTTGTTCTGTTATGCTGCATCCTCAGGATTTGTCTCTTACATGTGGTTCTTAGCCTCCTCCCCCCACTGCTGCTTCCAGTTTCTTTCCAGACTTCTCTCTCTGGTATTCTCCCACTAGGAAGATACTAGTTTTCATTTATTTTCTGTACAGTATTTTCATGTTACTTTTAGCCTTAGGTACATCACTGACTAAAGAAAAGTTTGGAGTAGCATGTAGATATTTGGCATCACTGGCATGAGGGCTAGATCCTTCACCAGCATCAGTTACTATCACAGGCAGCTCTCTTACCTTTAGTTGTCCTCAGCCCTGGTTTAGGAGCCTTAACTGCCCAGCCTGTTGGAAAATCAGTGAGAAACCCACTAAGAGGGGTGGGTTTAACGAGATGGTAGTGAAATGAAAAGAGGCAGTTGCTTTGCTAAGCTGAGGGCAGCTTCTCAGAGTTAGCACTTATCTCTGGGTAATGAGCTGTGCCCCCTCCTGTTGACACCTGTAGCCTGGTGGGAGAGGCAAATCTGACAGTGACAGTGTGGGGCTGAACAGCAGCACTGGCACAGCGACCAGCCAGTGGTAGATACCCGCCCATGGCTAAACCGTTACCATCAGACAAGAAGCCAATTAGACTTAGGATCCTACTGTAGGGTTGGCTTAACCTCCATTATCAACTTTTCCACTGACTATTATGAGGGCTTTCGAAAGTAGCTGAGACCTGCACGTGGCCAGTGGAGTATGGCAGTGTTGGTCCTTCAGCTGAACCTTGACCATACTTTCTCCAAGGGCCTGAGACAAATGGGAGAGGCAAGAGAGGCTGCTTTTGGTAGGGGTCTAGTGCCCTGGCTCCTGCACTGAGGGAGGCAGGGCTCAGGTGGGGCTGAGTGTTGGCTGGTTGAGGGTACCACTAGATGCCCAGCCCTGTGGCTGTTGCTCCCTGCTGTGTCACTCAAACACTGTATCTGGTAGGGGTTTCGTACCTGCTGTCATGGTCTACACCAGTCATTATTCTCTGTAAATAACCATTTACCTAATGTATTACAGCTGTTCCAGCCTACTAGGTATATACAAATAGAACTGTCTGAAATATTATTTAACCAAACTTACACCTGTTAAAAAACCCTCACAAGCACCAGAAAGCTGCTTTATCTGATGGGTCAGACCAGCTTCATCCATCAGTTAAACACGTGCTTGCTTTGCTCTTTCTGTGCCACTTGGTCTGGTTCTCACATGCCAGAAAAAGAGCTATTGGCTTCAGTCACTTTGAAATACACACTTTTGGCATGATGAAATCACATCCTTTGACTCTGTTCATCTCTCTAAGATATTTTTTTTCCACTTCTGTATTGTGGCTACGGCATGTACATTAAAAATGTTTTGCGTACCGTCCAAGAAACTCTTGTCTTTTCTCTTACCCGTATCCCTCTGGATTTTAGCATTTCATGGCAGACTTGGAGCGTGCCAATATGACATGGCCAGAAAATCATTAGCTGGAGCAGCAATCTGAAATGACAGAAAGCCAAGTGAGAAGGGTGGTGTTCTCCCCTCACCCCAGGGCAGCTAGCACATGGCTTTGGTCCCATGTCCAGTTTCAACACCATCACTACCTCTGCAGATCCCACACAGGCACGAAGGCCTGACCAACCCCTGCTTCCCCAGCAGTGCCAGGACTTGTGGGGCTCAGAGCCTGCTGGGCTCCTTGTGCTGCTGCCACCCCTCCCCGTCCTCCCCATCCCCAAATCCATCCAGAGCAGCACAGTAGGGATGGTGCCTTGTCCAACAGAAGTAAGTGTTGGCAGCTTTCTGCTACTCGCACACTCATCACCTACCGAAGATGTGCTCCCTCCCTTCCCCCCGACCCCACGAAGGCATCAGGCAGTACTTGGCACTGGCTGAGCTGGTCCTTCCACCCCAACACAGAAAACCAGGGAATGGGACAGCTCTTCCAGAGCTTTTGAACACATGCTCTGGGTTAGGTTAAACCCCTGAAGCCACCAACAGGGGTGTAATGGCCGCAATGCTCACTTCACATGAGTGCAGTGGCCCACGCGTGCTGGAGCTGGCAGACCTAGGGCAGCTGATGTGCCAACCTGTCTGGGCTGTGCCAGCATCCTGCTTTGGGCCCAACACAACAACAAAGAACCAGGTGGCAGCTCATTCAACTGCCTCCTCCCCTCAGCCCATAGACAGTCTGAGAGGACAAAGCCTAACTAGAAGCTCCTGGGTCCAGACAAAGGACAAGGAGGGATCTTCACCCATTAAGGTCCCAGGCAAAACAGACTCAGCTTGGGGAAAATAATACTGTAATTCCACACTAATCACATCCCCCAGGACACAGACACCCCCAGAGCAGGGCTTGCAGATGTTACCCCACCCCTCCCTTCTTCCCGGGCCCCAATCCCTTGGTTCCCAGTTTCTCTCCCTCCTTCCCCCCAGGGCACAGGGGGACAGGGGATGGGGTTTAGAGTCACTTCACAGCCTGGGGGTTCCTGCTGCTCCTGCCTCCTCAGCAAGAAGGATTCCTGACAGTCCTGCCCTGCTTCCCCACGGGGTCCCTCCCATGGCACAGAGGCCTCCACCAACCTCTCCTTCCTGAGCCCTTCCCACCAGGTCCGGAGCTGCTCCAGCCTGGGCTTCCCACAGAGTCACGGGGGCTTCGGGAACAGCCACCTCCCCTGGCCCGGGGGCTTCCACAGCTGAGCAATCAGAGCCCACTGGCACCAAATCCTCTGGCCACAACATCCAAGTGCAGGGGCCAAGTTCCCCCCTCCTGGCGCCTTCAGGGAATGTCCCACCACGTTCCTCCATGAGTGCAGGGGCACAGCTGCCATCTCGCCATGGGCTGCAGGGAAACTGCTGCTGGGGCACCTTCTGCCCCTTCCTCCTCACCAACCACCAGCACTGCCTCTCACCTCTCCAGCTCAAAAGCTGTGGGAAAGCTGGTGGTGCAGCACCTTCATGCTCCAGCTGCTGCCAGGAGTGAGCCTTCCCAGGGAAAAGGCCTCGAGTCACAGGCCCTGCTCTCTAAAGGATAAGTGATTCAACGTTTGCTGCTCTCTGAAGTGCTCTCACCAGCAGCACCCCATTCTTTTCATTTGTCCCCTACTATTATTTTACCTAAATAGTTTTCACAGTAGAAAGCTCAGCTCTGGCACACTGCATGAACTGGACAACAAAAACGGTGGGGACAGCCCAACAACGTGTATGTGTAGAGACACAGCCCTGGCACACAGCCCTGGGGTGGGGTTAGCTCAGCTGTGCAGCTCTTCCTGCCCTACCAGCCCAGGGAAGGAACAACCCCGCGTTTAATTCTTTTCTTTCAGGCAGCAGCTTTACAGTTGCATTCCTGTCAAGTATTTATTAGTGTACAACCAGAGGGGGCTCTGCCTTACGTTAAGAAACAAACGGTTCCTTCTGCTTTCCTCCACAACAGCTTCAAGGCTTTCTCTGGTTATGCTGGTTTGGAGGACACATTCGTTTTTGTCTCGCTGCTGAGGGCAAGGACAAGAGAGGGTTTTACAGGCCAAACCTAGTCCAGGTTGTCCAACGAGATGATGGTCAGTCTGACTAAAGGAGAGCTGCTCTTCATCCTGAAGATGTGCCAGATGACAGCATTTGTACTTGGCTTCAAAGTCCCTCAGCTCTTCTATTAACATTTCCATCCTGGAACAGGCAGAAAGAATCAAACCCTTGTTTACATAATTTAGCATTCATTAAAACCCTTTGTGTAACCCTGAAAGCAAAATTACTTACGCACTAAATGGATCTGGCAACGGTACAGGCAGCTAAAGTACAAGATTTCAGCTTTGGCAGCTTTCCTGAGGGAAGCCATCAATCTGGGAATCCCCATCTCTTTCACCCAGCCCCATCCAGAGCCTGAAGATGCTGCCAGAGGAGTCCTAACGGGGATTGTGGGGAAGCCCAGCTCCTTTCCATTCTGCCTTGAGTGGAGGAGGAAGGCAACACATGCAACCCCTTGGGTCTAAAGACTGTCAGGCCTTTTGTTTCTGAAATTCAGATTTTGCAACAGTTTTCAGCTCACGG